TTCCCATGGCTTTTTTTTTCTGTGTATTATTTTTTCCTGTGGCTTTTTTTCTTGGCTTTTTTTCCCTGACTTTGTTTTCTGACTACCATTTCATAGATTAAATTTGTACCAATGATAAGTTGTAGCATTTGTACTATTAAAATTTGTATTTTGTCATTATGCATTAGTATATTATGTGAAATATGTACCTATTAAAATGAAATATAAAGTAACTACATTTTTTATKAACACCCCTCCCCCCTTTACCTTGTTTATGAATAAGTATGAATATTTTATAGGTGAATTGTCAGTATATTTAGGTATACTAGTACCTACTGTGTCAATAAAGAAATTTTTATTAGTTCTAATTTAAACATTCTGTAAGTTAGACATGGTATTTGGCTATAGCTTGTTTTAGCTAACAGAGAAGGTAATGAACACTGTTCATTATGGCTACCTTCTTAAAATTAAATCTTTAAAAATTAACTCATGACATTTTTCAAAACAAAGTAAACAATTAATAATAATCAAATATAATACATTGAACTTGCTTTTTTCTTTTGTATACTATATCATACTATTAAATGCATATATACAATTTTTTTTTTTTTAGTTCCATCTTCACCTGGTGGAACAGCATTTGACCGAGATTGTTTTCCTCCTGACTGGGTATTGGATTCTTGGCATCCATTAGAAAAAGCTCAGTATCCAAAATACTTTGCCAAACGAGAAGAACGCAAAAAAGAGTACATAGCATTATGGGAGAAACGCTGGGGAAAGCCATTCATTCCACATGATGAGCATTAAACGGAATTTCTTTCTGTGGATTGTAGTGGATTATTGATTGTTGCTAATTAGCGATTGTTATCATAAAATAATATGATGTATCATGTWTGTAAAATAAATAATGAATAAATTTAGATTTCCTTATTATCATCATTTTCAGTTATAAACTATTGCTGTACATTTAACTTAAAGCTTATCACTAAGGACAACTAGTAATTATTTAAACAGTACCTACCTTGAAAGTAAAACATATTAAGCTAACTAAATTTTAKTATTAAATATTGATGAGTCATATTGTGTTCAATCAAATAGTATCATTATTCATATTTCTTACTCCAAGGTTATTGGTAAGACTACACGCTGGCAACTAACACATTTAAATTGGTACAATAGTACATAAATCACAATTTATAATGTAGCATTGTAGCACATTAAATAGATCACTCAATGTTTTTATATACTATTCAGTGCAGATTATTTTAAAGGTTTACAACGAGTATAATGTATTAATTTTATCATGAGATGTCTAGGATAAATATTCTTAGCATTCAGATTAAAAATGAATTTTAATAAGTGTTTTGTGCATTCTTCCATCAAATCTCYGACCTAAGAACTCCCACATTATTTGTAATTGTAAAAAAAACTCATTTACAGATTGTATAAAATATATTGCAGTAAAAATAAACAAAAAAATGTTTGTACTTATATATAATAATATTGAATTACCAAAAGTATTTGTACTGAATTAAAAAGTTGTTAATCTGGAGGGCTGAAGCAACCTATGTCAGCTATCCATTGACACATATTGTTACATATTATATWATTTCATACAGTATAACTAAATCATTAGATCAAAAGCTGTAAAAAATGTCCTCCACATCTCTGTTAATTAATACATTAAGAGTGTCATAGCTGGTTTATCCAATTCTATAAGATTTGAAAGTTGTATTTTATATATAAATTACTACTTTAAATATAATACTTTTCCACCAATCTCTTGCTTTTTGTCAGGGGTCGATTCTTTGTATTATATCATTCTGATTTATTTTTTTATCTGAAAGGTAAGAACTTTTTGTTTTCAAGCATTGATCCGTGCTGCAAAATGATCTTTTTTTTTGAATAAACAAAATTATTAAAATCTGACTATTCAAGGGGGATGATAAAACGCATCTGCTCCAACGCCTTTAGATTCTAAAGATATTCTACAGATGCTATGGAAAAAAAATTATAATTTTGTGTAGATCATGATTTGGCAATTAATTGCTGAGGCAATCCTGTTGTTATGAAAAAGTTTCCTGAAGTCAGAAAACCATTTTTTTGTATAGTCAATTATTTTAGTTCTACAGACAAAAAAATGAAAAATAAACAGAATTTAAGTGAAATAATTTTAGAAGTCTGTTTATTTGCTCATCACAGCTAGTCCAAATTTGGACTTTGGGCCATCTACTGACAGCCTATGATCTAGGCAATACCTAAATGTTGTTAGTTTTTATTCAAATAAACTGCCCATTGTTAAATTTTAAAACGAATAGTTTCAGCTGACATGTGATAAGAGAAATAAATATTAAATATAAAATAAAAGAATTTATTATTTTAGGTTTTAGTTATTATTTAAACTCATGWTCCCATTCATCACATATTTATATGAAGTACCCTATCAAAAGGTCCAAATAACACATGTCCTAAATTTGGATAATCCGTAATGTGTATTTTAAACATTTTAAGTTTTCTATAAATTATCTAATGGTAATATCTAGATTAGAAATCCTAATATTTATTTTAAGTAGGTATTGAATAATTTGTTTATTCTAAAGTGAAGAAAATGAAATGTTGCGTYGAGGCCAAATTTAATTTTAGTTACTAAATGTTCACTAAGAATTTATATAAGAAATACCACATATAATTTTGTAATAAGTAAAGTATGTTAACAGGTTTTGTCCTCATAACCTAATTTGAATATTTTTCACTTACAAAAGAAAACCTAGTACTTATCTAAGTAAAAATYGGGTTAAAAATAAACTTWTGAACTTTGAGGCACTAAGCCCTCTTTACTTAACATCTACGTAAATTACAAGCATAGGCATGATTTAAAAATAAATGTAGTATACTTAATATAACTATGAGATTGAACTTATTTATATTAATTTTATGAAAAACATCCATGTCATAAACTCTAACTAAAAATATTTAGATAGCATAACTTATATTCTGTTCCCAAAAAATAATTCACCAAACAGCAACCAGTTTTTGATCCTGAAACGTACATCTCTACATAAGAGCATAGGTAAATATTAGTGAAAATAAAAAAAATCGTACTACTGGTATTTTCTTTTGGAATAGTGTATATATAAAAATATATATATTTGGTATATAGGACTATTCCATTATTGTTGTTCATATCAATGAATTTTTTAATATTCATTATTTAAGTAAGTATTATAGTAAAAAGTAATAAGTGTTGAGCTGTGAAAACTGTGTTGATAGCTAAAAACAGTAAAAAATAAAATAATAATAAGCAATATCATTAATTATCGACCCAATGCATCAGAATAAAACCAGTACTGTTGAAATATAAAATAATCAAATCTCAGATTTATTTAATTGATTATGGTTTAGTATGAATAAATACAAACACAGTAATTTATTACAAACAATCATTTTTACATCGCTTAATGTAGTTGGCTAGCGAATCATGTTGCAAATATATTGAATCAATCAATATTTGTTTAAAATTTTTCTTCATCGAGCCCGTGTTTGAACAACATCAACACTGGTACATTGTCGTCACCAATGTCTCTGTATTCAAGCATAGCCACCATGCCGTTTTCGATATCCATATTTTCGCCAGTGAAGAACTGAAGATCCTTAAATCTTGTTAGTAGATCTTTCATTACCTGAAAACATAAATCGGCGGTATTAAAACCGAACAAAGACAACCCAACCTATTGCGCATAGGCACTACAATGTAGCAGGGAACGTGATCTACGCGCACAATAAGAAACCTGTTAAACTCACTTTGTTGATATTAGTTTTGAAGAGGTCCACCTCGGTGCTGCCATTCTCGTTCAACTTGTCCACCAACCGTTTCATGTACTCCTTGAGGTACAGAGTGAACGATTTCTTATCCGGGAACGCGTATGTTTCCATCAGACGGTGGTTGAGCACAACGTCCACACCGCTTTCCACGGCTTCTTCACTCGCTTCGCTGGCCTCTTCAGCGGACGGGTTGGCGCCGTCAAGCGTCACATCGCCCAGTTTACGTGTGATCAGCTTGCCGTACACCTCGTACAGTACGCCATCGATCAACTTGTACTTGTAGGTGTCTGAGAACATCTCGTCACCGGAGAAAATGTCTTTGAAGATCTTCATTATAGAAAATTGACGACCGGGGGAGCAAAAATCGAACTACAAAAACGACAAACGGTTGCTGACACGCGGCCAAGGCAGTGGAAAGAGGGCAAAAGACCCGAATTACAAAAGAAGCAGGCCTAAAAGGAATAACGTGGAATTTATCACAATGATATCATGAAAATTCTTCGATTTGTTATATGTTCGATTGCAAAGAGGTTAGACAAGTCCAACGTTTAGTGTTGTATGAATTGTCTTTGGAAACGTTTTTCTGGCGGGAAAGTTCAATTCATAATTTAAATGTTGATATTCATTGATGTCGTATTTGTTTATTGACTAGTTTCTGGAAATTAGAAAACGTCCACAACTAAACTTACTAGTTACTGACCTTACCATGCATCGTGTGTTATTCTAAATATTCAATAATGTTAGTAACACAATAATTTTCTTATTGCTTRATGGCTGATTGTCTGATCTATACAGTTCTACGTGACATGATTAAAACCAGCATACTTTCATTCTTGTTCACGYTWTTTGCCGATAAAATCTGGTACAGGCCCTCGTTTTATTATTGAACGTTATTTAAATTTTAATTATCAAGTTTAAACTGTAGTACCTAAACTGGACACTAGTAAACAAGGACTTGGGCGTATATTCATATATACGTTTTAATTGTTTGTTGTTCTAGCCTGGTAAATTATATTGGACAAATAATTATATATTATTATATATTAAGATTAAAAGATGGAAAATAATTCTAACATACGCGGATGATATTGTGATTATAGGAAAAACACAAGATGAATTGAAAAGRAGCATGATAGAAATGATGAAAGCAGGGGAAAGTATCGGACTAAGAATTAACACGGAAAAAATGAAATACATGACAATGACCAGAWAATTAGGAACTCTAAGAGACATAACTATAGGTAATAGCCAAATAGAGCAGATAAGAGATTTTAAATATTTAGGAGTAACATTAGATAAGCAAAATAGCCACGGCAAACAGATGCTACTTTGCTCTAGCAAACCTATTTAGATCAAAATTAATATAAAAAAAAAAAACAAAAGAACAACTATATATCAGCTATGTGAGGCCAGTCCTTTTGTATACATGAGCCACGTGGGCAACAACGAAAGGTGATGAAGAGAAGCTACTAAGATTCGAAAGAAAGATATTAAGGAAAATACATGACCCAATATATAGTCAGGAAGAACAGAAATGGAAAATAAGWTCAAACAATGAATCAAATGAATCACTATTTAAAAGAGAAAACGTAGTTCAGTTCGTTAGGAGCACGAGACTAGAATGGATGGGGCATGTTTGGCGAGCAGATKGGAGACTACTGAAGAGAGTCTTAAGCGAAGAAATGGAAGGAACGAGACCACGAGGGAGACCACGTCGAAGATGGATGGACAGTGTACGGGAGACAATGATGGAACTTATGCAATCAAGAGAAATAAATTGGGATATGGCAAAGGACTGCAGAGGGAAATGGAAAGATTTAGTTTCAACAGCAAAAAGCCTAAATGGCTTGTAAAGCTAAAAAAAAAAAAATTATATATTAATATTATATTATTCCCACTATTCGTATGGTTGAGTTTTAAAAGATACCTACCTTATTTTCAAACTTAATTTTGTGAGTTGTGATATCTGTGAATAATTATTATTTCCAAACGCTCCTCTCTCGCCAATGAAAACTTCTACATATGACACTGTGCCTCATGGCCACATCACTGTAAATATATTCAACGTTTATTTTCAGTATACACTATGCATGATATTATTGAGCAAATAAGCAAGAAAACAGAAGATTTGAAAATATTTAAAACCACATAATACATTCCAATGTTTAAAATACAAATTATAACATTTACATTTTAATGATTTTCTAATTAGTACTAATTKTACAGAATGAAAAAAAAATAGAAATATACAAAAAAAATAATAAGGTTTTAATTTTAAATAACTGGAAGGTATATTTTAAACAAAATCATAATTTTAAGAATTTGTAATGTAGTTTTTTTTTAATTTTGTAGAGCTTATTTTTTAATCTATATACTCGTAGTGCATAGGTTTTTCATTTTTTTTTTGTGCTGTATGTCTGGAGTCGTTGTTAGAATGCAGGATATTTTTCCATAATTTAGATTATTGAATACATTTTCACGATAAATTTTATTGTTAGACACTATAATAAGTATACTAATTACATGATATTATTATATACATACTATAATATATCGTTTAACCCGTATATATTATACGGGATATATATATATGATATTAATCATATAGCACACTTCATTAATTTTGATTAGAATTAAGCTTTTAATTAGGTGTGTCTCACACATGCGACACACGGTGCTCTACAACTAAACGTGAAACGTATATATTATATATGTATAAGTAAGTTAGGTCGACATATTGAATGTATAATCAGCTATAGATGATAAAAATTTAAAATCATTCGTTAATTTAAGTGTATATCATATTTGTTTCATTTTTATACTTTGGGTCRTTGAACTTTAATCGCTGAAGTCATATGCATATTGTATATGCAAAAATACTTTTTTATGATTGTGGGAGAAAAAGATAAAATCTCCCAGCATCTAATAATCATGTGCGTATACACTAGGAGGTGTCGGGAGCAGCAATGGGTCCTTTCCGCTATTTTAGTAATACCATTGATTATATAGAATATTCTATAATCAATGGTAATACTAATTGTTCACTTTTACTTGTAAACATAGGCACAAATAGTGTTTGAAATCTGAGGGGGCTGAAGTTGTAGCTCAGATCAGGATACTGAATACTCTTATGATGCTTTTAAATCAAGTAATGTGTATCATGTRGTAAAATCATTTGTTTTTGGGAGGGCTATAGCAATTCTTAGGGGGCTAAGCCCCATAATCCCCCCCTATTTGCGCCTATGCTTGTAAAACAACAAAAAAAATAGCAATACGCTGTAGTCATGTAATAGTGTTATCAGATATTATTGACTTTGGCCTCTCTCGGTTTATATTTCTGATGGCGCCCTTGCTAATAATGTCTTGTATTCAATCACAGGCTCTCAATTTTGGAGGTGAATCRTGTGGCTCCCGCTTCATAAATTAATTAATTGTTTAGCGTTTCTTTATAAACCTACTGAAAAAATCTTTTGCACATTTTTTTTCACTTCGTTTTTGTATTAATTCAATAAATAGTTAAATTCGTTCTAAACTCTATTAAAAAAAAAAATATAATAATAATAAAAATCCTGATTTTAAAATGTAACAACACTAATCTTTTTAGCACTATTGGTTGGAACATTTACACTGATTTGTATCACTAATAATCTTTATGCATTTGGAAGAATTTAAGGGTGAAATAGTTGAAACGTAATAATATTTTTTTTTCATTTATTATTATCTTATTATATACAAACATAAAGTTTACATCATATAGATAAAGAAATACATTTACGTTCCTCTATAAGCCAAAGCTTTTGACGGAGTACATAGAGAGGTGATAACTATATATATAGTTATGTTTGAATGAAAATTAAATTAAATTAAAGAATACATAACTTTTTTACTTAAAATTATAGAAAAGACACAACTTTTTATATATATATATAGAATATTAAATATGCTATAAAATGTAAAATGCAAATACATGAGATTGAAATTTCAAAGAATGAAAATACAATAAAGAGTAAATAAACATAAATAAGAATAAGCAAAATAGAATCAATGTCAAGTTACAAATATTTTCTAGAAATTAGTAAAATAGTAAATAATATTAAATAACAACATTTACCTAATTAAAATTAAAATTAAAACAAAACTCACCGAATAACGGAATTTTATTTAGGAGTACCTATAATGAAATCAAATAATAGCCATTTATAAACTTATTTTCCTCCATTAACAACGCCACCATGAATATAATATTTTTTAATACAGTTGACATCTGGTTAAAATGGGTTGGACCTAGTCAGCTAGTCTACAAAAGATTCCCAAAAGATTTTTCCGTGTACTTTACACGTAAATTATAAGCTCTATGTTCTCTTAATTGAGAAAAATCTGTATTGATTAAAGGGTTAAATAATTGTTGTTAATGTTTCACTATAAAGTATAAAGTCTATAATTAAAAAAAAAAACTCGTGACTGAAAAACTAATTAAAGATAAAATAAAATTATGAACTAATATAAATTAATTAATAAAGTGGTTATTCCCTATAACAATATTTTAACATATTATATAAGTATTATATATTATAATAGGCGTCTGTCAGACGCCGTCTGACCTAGGCCTTCATGGCTTCAAGCCTACTCCAGGACATAGCGCCATATGAAAAAAAACATATTATAAGTAGGTATAGGTATGGTCTAAAAAAATAGTAATTACAACTATGACATTTTTTATTATTCCGTTAGATTAAATGAACATTTTATAAATTTAATAGCACATCGAAATTAAATGGAYCAATAAATATTAGATAATAATATAAGTCACATCAAATATTAAGAATGCGCATCAGCCATCAATACAATATCGTGTCCTTACATTATATCTTATAAAAAAATTAAAAAAATTTGAATATCATCGAATAATGATTCATGCAATTTTTGAACTATACATAACTATTAACGATAAATCAGAATAATATTAGTACAAGATCTACGAAGGAGTTAGTATTAAATACTGAAATCATCGAAATTTAAATTTTAAATTTTATAAGCTAAAATCAGAAAACATAAAACAAATTGTATTTATGCAATTTATTTTGCAATCGGAATAAAAGTCGAGGAAAAAATCCGATAGGAAAAAACGGCAAGGATAAGAGACAATAAGGCGATAAAAAAATCACGTAAAAAGGTTACAAGTATCAATATAATAATATTTGTTATAAAAAACGTATTTTGTAATACACCGTGCATCACGTATTCTATATTAGTACATTTCGTAGTAGGTGTACTCGTGTGTAGGTACCCAGTGGCATATTTAGGGGGCATGCTCGGAATCTCACCCGGTTAACACTTTTTTGAGGGGTAGAAAATTTTACTAATGCCAATTTGGTTTAAGATACTTTTTATTACATTACGTATGTTTATGTATACATTTGAATAAAAAATAAATTAGAATATTCAAGCAGTACTTGATTTCGAATTGATGAATTTGTTTTGTTTTTTTTTTTAATTTCAAAAACTAGTAAATACATACAAATTTAAATTATTTCCAAATATTTATGAACTTTAAAATTGTTTGACATTTTTATGTTTTTAGATTAATGTTGATAAATATGTTATTTATTGTTCAATAGTCTTAAAAATGCAATATAACTAATATAAGTTTATTATTTTGTATAAGTTATAGGTAATAGTTGTTATTCCTACTGAAATAAAAAGAAGCTAAGCGTTAACATATTCAGCCGTATTTAGCAAAATTTAGTGTAGTTGGATATTCATATATTATGAAAGTCACGTAATCAATACGAAAAATAACAATTTTAATCATTTAATTGTTTCTCAAAAAAATTGAAAATATGATAAAAGGTTTCTCAACCTTCATAATACTATATCAATATATGATTAAAAGTAATAATAATGGTAATATTAAATTTAAATATTTATAAAGTTATTTCTATTCACTATTATACTTACATTTCAATATTTTTGTAATTTTTCAAACGTGTTTCTTTGCAACTTTCGACTTTATACACGATACCTAAGATCAATTTTATTGTTGACTGCAGGTTGAATCAGGTCATGGTAACATTTACCATGGCCGAATGTAGACATTTTTATTACTTACTGTTACTGTCAACTAAAAGTATGATATTTTATGTGTTAAATTCATGAAGTGTATATATATTGATTATATTGCAGTACCTTCTATTATACTTATAGAGTTATACTTATCTATAGTCTGTGACAGGGGGCAGGGGCGTAGCTTAAAGGGATTTAGAACTTTTTTTTGGTTTTTTAATTTTTCCTGAGTTCAGCTATAATAAGTGTATTGTTAGGCCAAGCTTTTTTTCCTAGTTCCAACATTTATTAAATTCTAATAAAATATTTTAACCACAAAAAAATTACAAATAAGAATAAATTATAAACATTTTCTTTAATTTAGGTGCTTTATACTTGGTTATCCAAATGTATACTTAAGACAGATATTATTATATACCATACATGCCTATAAACAAAAAATTGATTTTAGACTTCAAAATCTTTAACAATGGTTTACAAATAGAGTATTGAATGCGCCAATCAAACAAAATAGAATATRAACAATTTTTCATAAGTTCAATYTCAAAATTTCAAATTAATTTGTTTATTTTTAAGCTTTTGACAAAAATGTGGTAATTTTCTACATTCTCAATCATAAAAAAAGATAACCAGCATAATATTAAATATGTACTATTTATCAATGAATTACTCGTTATAATCATTAGAGACTAGAGTTAGACTAAATAGTGAAAACTAAATTGCGATACCTAACTACCTGTCTGGCTATCTATCATTGTGTGTAAGATTGTAGTGAGTATACTAGGTATAAGTTGGTCTATAGATACAAAATTTAATATTATACGAGTATATACGACTATAGGTAATTTAATTGTATGTACCTACTCTTGAAGTACCTAACTATGTTCAATAATTGTTATTTGTAGATTGTACGTTCTATACAATGTTATATAATGCATTTTTATTATATTATGCTAGGTTTTACCTATACATTATTCATCTGTGCCGGTCGTAGTAACGCGTAACATAGGTATTATAGTATTATTACGTTTTATAATAACATGCTATATAGTACCATATTATATTTATATACCACAAGCTACAACAGGAAAGTAAAATATACCAGCCCCCTCCCCAAAAAAAGGCATAACACCTATCATAACAACAGTGNATTAATTTTATATTATAATTTAAGAAATATTATCATTACATATATTTTATATTATTATTATATTATCATTATATAAGAAATTCTCCCAAACATGGGCCCCCCCAAAATTAAATCCTGGATCCGCCACTGCATAACAATATTATCAATGTGGCTTGGTGAGGTGCGGTCGTACGCTCAGTGCGTTTCCGCAGATTGAGCGTACGTACCGGCCGCAGTTGCTAGCTCCCGGATGGGTGACCACCCGGGATTTTTAGCAACATATCCTTGCCACACATACACAAACACGTGTTACAACCCTACCCACTTAAAAACCTACAAACAAACCTACAGAAATAACCCCTACCGTACCACTCCACACCCAATGGCCTATGTTGCCGCGGGTTATCCTTCCAAAAAAAAAAAAAATTATATTATAAATGTATGATAATACATCTTACAATATTATATTACCTACTTAACCATAATATTTATGTATACTGTTCTATGATACATTGATACAGGTGTCCCGCGGGGATTTATCCATTGCGATCTCCCGAAATAATGGAGATATCAAARTTATGGTTTTGTAATAAGACTCACAGGGATAATAACTACAATTATTTCATATTTTAATTTATTTTAATATTTAGGTAAAAAAGTTAAAAAATATATTTTTTATTTAATTATTTCAAAAAAAAATTGCTAGAGCCATTTTGTAGAGTTTATTTTTCTGAAAATATTGACTTTCCAAAATTTTATTTTCGTTAATTTCCTGATTTTATTTTTTTGTTTCGAGAAAAATTGTTAATTATTTGACACCTAGTGATGTTATCGAACTTGTGAAACGCCGCGCCGCATGCGTGATTGTACAGCCGGCCGAACGCTTTCAGTGTGCATAGTTATAATCATATTTTATTTCTTCAAAACTAGAAAAATTATTAAAAATCAGGAAATTAATAAGAAAAAATTTTGAAATGTCAATATTTTCAGAAAAATAAACTACAAAATAGCTGTATCTAGTATCTTTAATTTTTTTTTTGGAAGTAACTAAATAAAAAAAATACATTTTTACAATTTTTTACCAAAACATTAAAATGAATTAAAAAATGAAATAATTGTAGTCCTTATCCCTAACAAAACCGGAATTTTGATATCTTCATTATTTCGTGAGATATCGCAATGGGTAAGTCCTGGCGGGGCACCCTGTATATAGATTCTAAATATTGCATAATAGGTTAGGTTATTATGTTATTCTAATTGTTCTAAAGTTTTCCCTTGTCTTCCAACTAGGTACCTAAATCTATTGTAAAATAGGTATGTCAACATGTCATATGTATCATGTATGTTTGTTCGCAAACATGATTGCCCTCAAAAACGATAAATCCTGTAAGCGCCAAATACCAATGCTTGCAAGTTGCACATCGCACGTGTATTCGTATTACATTTACAATACAATTCACATTATTATATAAATTATAAGTAAAACACACGGTTACTGCTTATATGTTTAAATATTTAATCATTTTGCTTACCTTTCACCACAAAAAGCGTCCATTCGAATATTTATATTTTGACGTCGATTCTGATTCTGGGTGGGAAGATCGGGCAACACTGCATTGATCAAAAAGACAGAAACTGCCATCTCGTTTCGTCCTTTTGATTTACTACTACAGTAGAACTGCCGACCGCCGAGTATTGCGTTTGCGCCGCTAGCCGCTAGTACTCAACATATTATTATTGTTGTCTCTCGTTTACAGTTGCTCCGCAGTCCGCATTCAACACTCAGCAGTCAGCAGTCACTTCTCGCGAGTTGATGAGTGATATTGTTGTTGTTTATTGTCCGTGTGATAGAAAATTCGAATTTATGTGTTGTGGTGTTGTTATGTTTTTTTTGTTTAGTTTTTGTTTTTCATATAAAACTATAACAGGATCACTAGTATCGTGTCAGTAATGCTGTGTTCTGTGGAAATATAATTATGTGATTTTCGATTTTCTCATGTACGTGGCGGTCCATATGTTCAGACTTGCACCTGTTGCATTTAAGTTGATGTTTTTCGTTTTAATTATTCAGTGAAAATCATCACATCGATTTTAAATGCGGAATGGTGACGAGGCAAGAGTTTTATGTTGTTTAAAGTTTTTTGTGCCACAATCAAAATTGGATGACGTGAAAATGGGCAACATACAAACCCGTAAGCCTGAATACAGTTCGCCGATTTCGACTCCACAGCATCAGCTTCATTTGCCTGTAGAATTGCCCAGGACTCATAATTTGCGAGCTAGTATTCGGACTAAAATACCTATGCCAGACAAGAGTGAATTGGAAAGGCGGTTCACAAAAGTCTTGGTATGTTATATATTATTTTAAATATAATAAGATAAAACATTAACGTAACAATTCAAAATTTATTATTTAAGAATGCATTTTTTAATATAAAGATTACATTGTTTAATCAAATTCATTATAGCTGATTGATAAATTCTTGATTAATATTCTAGTTAACATAAACATAAGCATACATACCTAGATAGTTACTAAAATAAAAACAAAACACATACCTAAGTAATTATAATATATTTTAAAACCATTAAATATTCAAAAACCTAACCAAACTACTATCTACATATAAATTATAATTCATCTAAAGTCACAATACTACACTACCAATAAAATACAAATATAAATTTTATTATACATAGGTAAACATATTTTTTGTTTATTAGTTTGATTATTATAAGCATTGTTAGGTATATTGAGTGGTTTAATTAGATTTATAAGAATATAAACTATTGACGCAAAATCTTTCCATCTATGCAATACACTCTTAAAATATAATGTTTATTTAAAAATATATAGATCTTAATGTACCTGTATTTATATAATTAGATATTATTTAAAATACTTACTGTGGTACCTATTGATTTTTGGTTTTAAAAATACATACGAATATAATACAAATATTAGAGTTATTATTGTGTTGATTACTAATAGTTACTTACATATTAGTACTAATTACTCAGCCAAGAATTATATGTACTAAAAATGTACGAAATATGTATGCACATATATATGTGTACAAAAATACGTTTTAATTTAATTTATTTAGTTTAAAAATGTATATAATTCATCAAATAATTAGTAATACGGAACAAAAAAATGTATTAAATTCCCTAGTCGATGTAATTTAATTGTATTTTGATGATGTATTCAATTGTATGTTGCATTTTGAACATTCACTCATCTAAATAAAAACTCATGAACAAAAATCAATTAAAACAAATTAAGTATTTTTTTATAATACAATATTTCAAAGTTACCCTGAGAGTTACAGTTAACTACTATAGACTTGGATAACTTTTCAAATAAAAATGCACATCGATCTTCTCTAAAGTTTTTTCTTTTCACATAGTTACGTATTAATAACTTAATACTATTTTTTCATAAATATGTCTAAATAAAAAATTTTTAGTTATTTTTTCATAAATATGTTTAAATAAAAATTTTTTTTCTAAATATGCAAAGTAATATTTAATTTTGCACAACAACACATTAGGTTAAGATTTAAATTTGTGTTTTACCTAGCTACTTTTTAATCTAATGAATAAAAATATGCAACTGTATACAATGTTATTTATAATAGGTATTATATTAATATTTAACTGCATAGATAATATAAATATATAACTATTATTTTGAGATTATCTATGGCTACTAAATACCTTTGTAGAATGGAATAAATGTAGGTGTTTTGTTAGGTACATCTAAGTAATTGCTGATAGTAATTTAAACATTATAATAACATTATAAGGTGTATTGTATGCAAATAATATTGATGGTGATTTAAGAGTTTAATATAAGTAAGTAAAATATTTTTTGAATGAATATCGTTTTCATAAAGCATTATTATTGTCATATTCATATTATTAAAGGATTTATCCCGTATTGTAAAATAAAATTAAAATAAAATAAAAAATATCAATCGGTTATTGATATTATTCAATATAGGTAGGTAGGTATGTACTACTTACTAGTTAAATAAATAAAAATATAATATGTTACCTTATACCTATGTATATTTCTAAAAATGAGTTATTTTAAATTATAGTATTGTTATTTGTCTAGGTATTATTACTATTAAGAATTTGGAACGAAGGTATAACAAACAATTTTTATACTGCAATTTTGTTAAAGTATAGTGACTCGTGTCTACCTCTACCTATTAATTACTGTGCAGCACTGTAGGCTGTAGCCATTACAAATTGCTTAGTGACTTAGTGTTAGGTGAAGATTAAAATAATATGTCATTAAATTTTTCTCTTATTATCATTTAATTGATATATAATAGTATAATAGTATTAGGTGTGGTGGTTTCATTATTATAATATAGGTAGGTGGAGAATTTTGGTAAATTGAACTCTCAAAAAACTAAACTGTAAAAATGTGCATGTAGTCTGTGGTAAGATTGAGGGAAGGGTTGGTGCTTCTTAAATCAATGTGTTTGTTTTTGTAACATTTTTTAAAAATGTACTACTTATTTAAACTTGAATTGTACATTTGTACCTAATAAATTTAGCTACACCAAAATAACATGTATTAACATTTTAAAAAAATAATATTTTTTACACATTAAATATTAAACAAATATTTTTTTGGTTTAGCCATATAATTGGTATATATTACATAATTTGTATAATATTATATTTTATGTGATATTATTATTATTTTATTAGGAATAAAAACTGTTTAGAGTTTAACTATTAGAGCAATATTTTATAATTTTAAAAATAGGCTGTTGAGTATTTGTCTATATACATTATTATTGTATTATTATTTTTTGTACCATAAAATTTTTTGTATTGTATTACTATTAGTATTTTTAAAACAATGATAAATATCTTGCATCCTAAAAATTACTCGAAGCATATATTCATGTAATATTATATGTAATACACACTGATATTATCTTATACCTTATAGGTTATAATTTAAATTTTAAACTTCTGATAAATTATATATCCAATTTTTGGAGACTTGTTTTTGAAATTTTAGAATAAATACATAAAATATATAATTATAAAATACATGAGTATATTAATATAAACTATAACTTTTGTATTTTGTTMAAGTGATAACTAAAAACCTTTGGAAAATATACCTATTAACATCACAGTTTAGTATCTTATTTAAGAATAATATTTTGCCATGGTAACAACTATTTAAACACTCAAATAGCATTAGTTGAGTAGGTAATGATGTTTAAGACTGTTTTATGTATATCTAGAAAACATATAGTTCTGCATATGATTAACTTTGATTGACCTTGTATCACATTCTCGTGTACCTATTCATTTAAATTAAAGCCATCCAAAGAAATAAATWATTTAAAGTTTGAATTAATTCTAAGTTTGAAAAATTTCTGGAACTTAAAAATGTCATATTTAGCTCCACCACCAGCTCAGTAATTGTTTTCCCTCTCACCTATGCGAATCATACCAAATCTGTGTTCAGTAAACCTAGTGTGGTTAGATTTAGCATTATGGATTGATGACCTATTATAATACTTAAAACCAAAAACATTATCTCTGTTCATTGGCTTTTTTACGATAAATAGGTACTTAAATTTGTGTGCAAGTTATGAGTGTGTAAAATATTACAATTAAACAATTCTCAAATCATGCTTTAAATTAAAAACATAAAAAATCTGTCATATTATAAGCACAGATAATGTTAATTTTAAATTTTATAATAGGTCAATTCATTCTAATACTAAAGCTAAGCACACTAAATGAGTTCGGCTGAACACAAATTTACCATGTTGCGCATGGGCCAAAGGGGGAAAACAAATAAAGCAGATGACATTTTCTTAACTATAAAGTTCAACATTTAACCATTTAATTAACAGACCCAGTTATATATTCTCCTAATCTCACCACACAATCTACCTCAGTGGCGTATATAGCTATTTTCAATGGGGGGGGGGGG